ATTTTCAACGTGCAACTTTATACTTTACCAAAACTAAAGGTTAAATGAAACGAAATGTCATCTATATGTCTATGTAAACTCAAAATTTTGTAAGATTGATCAAACTTTTCCTTGTTGGAATCACGCACTTGTAATTACTTTATTTGGTTCAATTCTCTAACATCACCTTCGGAAAATAATAATAATAATAATAATAAGCCCTAGTTTCAATAAAAGAATCACTTTTTTCTTAATTTGTTTAAAAATGAAAAATTATTTTTTAAAAAAGTTAGCCTTGTTTCACAGAGCTTTTTTGAGATTATAAATTGATCAAACTTTATTTTTAATTACACTTTTCATTGAATCCACAATTTTATTCATTTTTTAATTATAAATTTCATGGAATCCACTACCTCATAATGTAAAAAAAAAAAAAAAAAAAAAAAAAAAAAAAAACATTTTCTTTGACTAAGAGGTAACAAAAGGCTTCGCCGGTAGAAAGCCGATTAAGCCTTAACACTCTCCCCAGCCTTCCACCAGCTGATGCTGGTGCCGATGCTGTCGTCTTTTGACTTTAAGCAGACGTTCCAGCTTCGATTCAGCGGCTGCTATAAGCTTAGCCGGCACGCCAGAAATTTCCTCCAGTCGCTTCATAGATTGCCGTGTCGATTCCCCGCTGAATCTCAAGCCGAACCACATCGAAGCCGCTAGGCAAACTCGGAAGGGAAAAACCGTCCACTGATTCAAACATATCGTCAGCGCATCGCTAGCCATCTGTACGGGCACGTCACCGCTTCGTCCAAGCAACGCGCACCATTTGACGAAAATTCCTTTCACCTTCAATTCTATCATTCCCCTTTGAGTTCTCGTAATATATTTCGACTTAAACTCGCCGTAATTGTCGTTGCCGGAGGAAGAATTAAATACACAAGGTTCCCGATGACCGGAATATTCGTTTTTCTTCGTTGTAGTGCTCGAAACGCAAATCGAAGACTCTGAAGACGAGAGCGAAACTAGATCATTACCCGCCGAAGCCGGCGAACAACGACACATCGGCTGAAAACCGAGGCCGGGTATGCTTTCTCCGATTATCCCCTTGCATTCGGAGCAAATTGGCCGGCGTACATGGCGAGCTACGAGAAAATTAGCCTGGTGGACCTTAGAATCGCAGGCCCAGCAAAGAAACGCAGAATCTGAACGACAATAAACTGCAGCATCTGCATTACACAACTCACAAACCCTAATTTTCATCTTTACGAAATAATAAACCAAATCCGTTTGAAGGAAGATGAGAAATTTAAAGGACGGTGAGAGAGAAATAAAGTGAGAAATGAAATTTATGGTGTAAGAGTGAGTATGCGGAATCAAAGTGAAAATGAATAATATGGACAAAGATTTAAAGGGAAGCAGAGCAAAGCAGACCTCACCAGTCACCACTATTGAAAGATAACGTGCGTTTATGGGTTAGAGAGAGAGGAAGAGATATAGGGAGAGAAAATAGAGGATCTAATCCTTGGCCAGAGAGAAAGAATCAAGATGTAGAGAGAGAGAGGACAGTAATTGGTGGAAGAGAGGGAGACTCGGTTGCATTACGCAGGAATGGGTAATAACATTAACAACATGTTATACATGCACACGTATACACCGCCCGAATCATCGTTGCTTAAGTTATATAACATGTTATAGTTGCTTAACTGATATTAAGTCTCGTTTGACATAATTTTTTAGAAGTTAAAATAAGTTTTTGGGAATTTAAAAAGAGATTTTGAAATCCAAAGTTGCTTAACCTATATTAAGGTTCGTTTGGCAAATGAGATTTTGAGTTTCAAAAGTTACTTATAGCCATCATTTGATCCCTATTCTTTGAAAAAAATGAATTCTTCTGAGTATTTTGATATCATTTTAACTACACATTATTCAATAAAATAATATTACACGTAAATTCAAAATTTTTCTTAATTTTTAAGCACACATTTTTCATTAACATACTATTCAAAATTTCATTTTCCCCCTCAAAATGGGGCTCAAACAAGGACATAAATCGATCTAGCTGAATTTTAAATCGATCTAGCTGAATTTGTTCTAATTAGAAGAGCTTTAAAATGTTGCTAATCTAATGTGGTTTTATTTAAAATTATTTTTGAAGTAGAAAGTTATCTTAAAAATTAATATTTAAATGAAAATTAAGGTAGCTTAATCCATTTTTTTTTTTTTTTTTTGGACGGAAAACAAAAGTGAAAGTCATTTGAGATGGACCTAAATAAACAAGTCATTATTATTTGACATGACTAATTGAGTTATGCTACATGTACGAAACATTTTTTTACAGATATCTTACAGAATACATAGAGCATGGAATGGGTGAGTTATTTTTGAATTATTTTACTCACCACTCCCCATCCGAGCATCTGGAATTCTTATTTCCTAACTAAAAACGGTAGTCAATCAATAATTTTAGTTGTACAGAAATTATTTCACAGAAGTCATATAGAAGTCTCATATGGGAGTGGGTCCCATGTGAAATAAAATAGTGCCAAAAAAATGCTATGTGTGATGTAAAGTTCCTATATCTGTACATACAGCACTGTGTTCTATGTATAGAATTTCTCTCGGTGTGTGGAATTGTAATAACCCTACGCTGGCCCCCTAGGCATAATTCAGTTGTGTAAATGATAGGAGTGAGCTAGTTTCAGTCTTACTGACGGTCGCAGTTTGAGGGTTCGATTCCTGAAATATGGAATTAGACTCTTTGTAGACACTAGTATATGGGTAAACTCTTGATCCCTAGCCTGTTGGGACACGTCCTGTAATTTACATTCCTCACAATATTCTAGGGGACGGGGTAGTGGGAACTCTAAAGATTGGGGTTGAACTTTTTTATTTTTTATTTTTATTTGGGTAATAACCCAACGCAATATGGGTTATGCTTGGGGTACATTGGGGCATCCATCATGGTGTCCAAAATGGACATACGGTACTTCGGCATTGGCCGAGGTGCCTACCACGTCGGGGCCCACCAGCACCTTAGCCAATACCGAGGTGTCGGGTGTCCATTTTGGACAACATGTTGGATACCTCGGTGTACCTTGAGCATTTTCCATGCAATATAACGTGCAGAAGTGGCAGCCTTGATTTTGTCAATTTCTCTCCCCCGTTTTTCTCGAACAAAATGTCCTTTTCTTTTGCAATAATGCCCTTATCTATACAGATTTTGTCATATCAAGTCCTTCATAAGATCTTTGATTCTAAATCTGATCTACTAGCTTCTTCTTTTTTCTTTTGAACATCAATTATAAGTTGTTTGGCAAAATCCTTATAATCTACAAACTTTTTTTTTTTTACCAAACATGCTAGTTTGATTTTATTCTTATGAAATATATGTTCTCTATTTTGTAGCCTTCAAATAACTTTTACTTGATATATTCCTTGTGGTTGCATAAAATCATTGATCAATATGACAAAAAATCCATAAAAAAAAGACTAATTCTGATAAGAAGATCGTAATTTATGTGAAAACATCATAAAATAAAAAGTACGTTGACCAGAGAAAAACTATTTGAATTGACATATGTTGGCTCAATTTTAAGGACGTACTATGATAGAAAACAAGAGTAAAGATCAAGTAAAACTTTTTGTGGTGTTTTTTTTTTTACTTTGTTTATAATTGTAATTACTATGTGTATGTAAATAAATCCATGGCAATGATAAAATAAATACTTCTACTAATTGAGCTTTTGCTCTTGCAAATATAGTTGAAAAATAAAGAAGCAAAATGCTACGTGTATATACATTGACATGCACACATATGAATTTTTATCTTTAAATAGACGGCAAAATTATTGTCGTTAGTTAGCTATGACTATTATTTGTTAAATCACTCCTATAGAAAGCTTGTTTGAATAGTATTTATAAATAGTTTTAAATTATAAATAAATTGAAACGAGTAATAGATAAGTGAAAAATATTTTTGGATCCCTCAAAATACATGAATAAGTATTTTAGTATTTATAAACATGAGTCAAACAAAAGTTAAATATATTTACTACGGAGTATTAAGTATTACAATCGTCAACAAATTTGATGTGAACTTAATGAGAAAAAAGAATTGCTGACTTGATTTTTGGAAATTCATATTTTATTTCGTGATGTCACTTTAACAATATTTTGACCTATCAATGAAGCGATTTCACATTCTTATCATGTAAGTAACATGCAAACAAGATAAAATAAAGAAATTCCAATCAAAACAAAAATTGATCAATAAGTCACCCATTTGAGGTGAATTTTGAACTAACAATTTATTATTTAGTCATTATTAGACGTACAATCAAAGTATTTATAACACGGCATTACTAATTTGTTTCATCATTTTGCTCCTTGATTCATGAAATTTGATATGCAAAATACATATTATCTAACTACACAAGTAGAGCATTTGGGTTTTGGCAATATCGATTTTACAATTTCTCGTAAGTTTTTGGAATAAAAAATAAATTAAAGCAAAATTTCGGGGAAAAATAACATAAATAAATAATAGGGGTCCTTAAGAAGAAAATATATGTCATGTTATATGATTGTGGTTTCTGTATGGCCATATTGGCCAACCTGTCCAAAATATCTTCTTGTACAAACCCCTTTGAGAGCAAAAAATCTAAGCCAGGTAGCGTCCAGTGCACATCTTCAAGTGGTAAAAGGGGAGGGTGGAAAAATTCAACTTTACTTGAGGCTGCTGCGTCAAGGGTTCAAATCCTGAAATATGAATTTGGCTATTGGGTAAATGCAAGTGTACAAGCAGCCTTCCTCCCTATACCCTTGGAGGCATAACCTGCAATTTACCTCCATCACGATGCTCCAGGACAGGGGTAGTAGGGGACCCTTAAGGTTAGGGTTTAACCTTTTATGATTGAAATTTTTTTTTTTTTTTTTTTTTTTTTTTTTTTTTTTTTTTTTTTTTTTTTTTTTTTTTTTTTTTTTTTAAATCTAAGCCAGGTATGTGAGAGATTTATTTGACCAACACGTGGCAAAAATTGTCATATATGTCAGCTTCTAAGCTTTTCTCTTACCAACTATGCCCTTTAGCTTTTTGCCATTTCCCGAATGGGACCATGTTAAAAAAAGGGGCTTAAATTCTTGTATTTTTTATTGATAATTGTTGACATGAACAATCAGAATGACCTTGCTATCAACAGGTTAGCTGCCACATTTCTTCTTGCCTAGGCAACCTACACATTTGCACAAAATGTTAGGTTCCATGATCGTCGTACTTGAAAAGTGATCAACTGTCATTAGAACTTTGACAATTAAATCAAATGACGAGATGCACATTTTCACATCCTTGTATGTTACTTACACACTCACATAAACTGTTAGATGCCAAGTTTATCGTGCCAGAGAAAGGAATTGATGATGTTAGCACTACGATGATGAAGTCAAATTATCGTATGAGAAGTACATAGGGGATGAGTGTGAGAGACAAACAAACAGAAATTTGGCTGGAGTTTAAGAATGAGTATACGTATCTATTTATAGGGGAAGGATCCCTATAAATTATAATATTAATTAGGTTGGGATGTTGCAATTGTTAATTATTTCACTTGCCACCATTTTATTGGACAACGAGACCATAATTTATTATGGTAAAATTTCATTTTATCGTAATATTTCTTTTTAAAGTTGGATTTCCGTGTAAGGTATGATCCTTCTTCGATCTTTCACTACGCTAATATTTAGTAGTTGATAATACAAAATATCAAGTAGGACATATCTTGCACGGATATTTATCAAGGTAAATTGCCTCGCCTAATATCTTCATCATCGATTCTATTAGGGATTCACCACCAGGCATCCACATAGGAAAGGTTTGGAGAAACTTGACCGTAGTTGTTGTGGAAAGACAATGAGTGAAAATGCAATATTATCAAGGGCGAAGGTCACCGTTTAGCCTACCTCATTCCAGTTGGGCAAAAATAGACTCATTATTATTGAAATAGACACACCACACTTGACTTCCTTTTCTCCTCCCCAGAAAAGGAAACTCATTATTATTGAAGACTTGTTTAACACTGATTTCTTTAAAATTATTTTCTTTTTCAAAATCATTTTTAATTATACATTTTATTAGTCTCATGATTTTTTTTCTATTTTTTAGTCACGTATTCTTAAAAATAGGTCCACGAGGGTGTTTGTGAGTGATTTTTCACCTCAAAAAATTAATTTTTTGACCGTTATTTCAATATTCCAATTATAGAGTTTGACTTATTCTCTCACAGGTTTTCCCACTTTTCTCGTAATGATCAAAAAATCAATTCTCAAAATCGCTTTCAACAGGGTTGATAAGTTTATAAGTCTAACATCGTTGAAATTAGAAAACATGAAATTGGATTTCTTATAGATGCAATGTACATGCAACTCTTATTCCCTGATACGTTGGGACACATTCCACGATTTACCTTTCTCACAAAATTATAAGAATGAAACGGTAAGAACTCTTAAGGTTGGAGTTCAACTTTTAGAAAACATGTATTAAACAGTTCAAAATTCAACGTGCAATTTGGGTGCGCACACCGTTTTTCAGTGGTTCACAGATTTGGTCAAATCAAAATGAAAGGTTTTACAAGTTTAACGGTAGAGAGCCATTTGCT